GTTGATTGGGCTGATCTGGCTGGCTGCACAGTGTCCCAGGGGGCGGGGACAGCCCGGCCGGCTCTGAGTGTGTGACACGGCGTGCCGGTGACAAGGCTGGCTCCTGTGGCCGTGGCCCCACTGCCTGAACCCGGCGCTGTCTTGGGCCGAGGGAGAGGCAGAGGCCCCATAGCCACGCACTGTGTCCTCTTCCAGCCTGAAAGGGGCGCTGCTGTTCATCACCATCGCGCTCATCGGCACGGGCTGGGCTTTCATCAAGCACATCCTCTCCGACAAGGACAAGAAGATCTTCATGATCGTCATCCCGCTGCAGGTACGGTGCCCGGACACTGCCGCTCCTGGTGTGCGGGCTGGGGACTGGCGCTACCTCTTCCGGTGCCCGCCGAGACTTCGGCCCTGTGGCGGGGGGCGCACGGCTGCCATCGATCTCCTGGGCACGGTCCTTGGGAGCTGTGGTGGACTGTGACAGGGACGGGACACGTGGGCTGGGGCCACCCTCGCCAGGTCTGAGCCCTGTCACACTCGGCAGAGCCGAGGCTGGGAGCACAGTCTGGACGGAGGGGCGGCTCGGACACCCAGAGCCTGCTGGGCAGAGTGGGAGCGGCACCCCCACCCTGCCCCGTGCTGTGGCCTCCTGACTGGCAGTGGAGCGGGGCAGTGCCGCCCGCGAAGTGCCTGCCTCGTCCTCCCGCCTGTGTCCCTCCCGGGCTGGCCTGGACGTGACGGGACCCGGCCTCTCCTTCCCCACTTTGCTCCCCTGCAGGGGAACCTAGGTCACAGGTGACCTCTGCAGGGAGAGTGGTGGAAAGCGAGCGTGAGTGGGGCCTGGCCTGTGGACACTGGGCCGTGGCAAGCCGTGCACCCGGCGCGGTTCACACCGCTCCCATCTGCAGGCCGGGGCTGGGGATGGACAGTTGCTTTCTGTGAGGGGAATTTGCCCGGTGCTCATCCCCGCACAGAAAGCACCTGAGGAGGGAGTGTGTGTCCCCGGGAACCCACCTCGGGCGCTGTGGAGGGCAGGCCCAGGCAGACGCCGCGGGGACTGGCGTGTTGTACTAAGTGTCGCTGCTGGGCTGCTAACCGGAACCCTAACCCAAAGAGAAACCGCACACGGGCCTCCTGACACTGGTGCGGGCGGTGCGGGCTTGCTGGGGGGGCGCACGGCGAAGGCTCCATCTGCGTCCACTCCCGCGGGGGTCCCGACGGGGCAGACCTCAGTCCAGCCGCCCCCATGCCTGGGCCGTGTCAGTCCGGCAGCTGAGAACTCTGGGCCCCGCTGGGAGCCCGAGAGGGACTGTTGAGAGCCACAGCCTTGATCGGGACGCAGGCAGGGCAATGAGCCCTGGACTTGGGTTAGTCCTGTGGGGGCAGCCGGCCATGGGGCGGAAGGACCATCTCCACAGGGCCGAAGGGCAGTGTCTCAGTTACCTGTCACTGCGTCACCAGCTGCCCAACACCTGGTGACTTCAGGCACAGGCAGCAGCTGTTCTCTGTCCTGCTGCTTGGGTGAAGGATGGGGCGGTCTCACGTGCCGCCCTGTGTGGTAGTCAGGCAGCGCTCGGGCCGGGGGTCCTCAGTCTTTACTTCTGGGAGCGGGGGGTCAGCAACACACACGCACACACTCAGCTGGGGCCTGGGATGTCATCTGCCTTTGTATGATTTCCCCGGCATGACAGTTTTGACTCCTTATAAGAAGGCTTGAAGCCCGGTGTGGTGATGTAGGGGTGTGATCCGGAACTCTGGGAGGCTGAGGTAGGAGAATCACATGTTCCGTCCCAGCCTGGGCAGCTTAGAGACTTAGCTCTCAACATAAAAACAGGCTGGGGAACTGGGTGTGGTGGCGCACACCTGTGTTCCCGGTGCTCTGGGAGGCTGAGGCGGGAAGACTGCAAGGTCAGACCCAGCCTGGGCACCTTCGTGAGACCCCATCTCAGAGAGGGTGGGACGGGGCTAGGATGTAGGTCGGTGCAAAGGCCCAGGTTCAGTCCCCAGCAGCACACACAGCGCGGGGCAGCGCCGGGGGGACCGCACACCACCCAGCGTCACCACCGCTGGCCGCAGGTGGGCCCTGCCCCGGGCTCCCGCGTCTCCTGCCTCAGCGACCTCTCTGCCTGCAGGTGCTGGCAAATGTGGCCTACATCATCATCGAGTCCACAGAGGAGGGCACGACCGAGTACAGCCTGTGGAAGGACTCCCTGTTCCTGGTGGACCTGCTGTGCTGCGGTGCCATCCTCTTCCCGGTGGTGTGGTGAGTGACGGGGCTGGCCGGGCACCGCGGGCCGGCAGGGAGCCTGCGCTGGGTGGAGAGGGACCAAAGCCTGAGGAGTGAGTGGCCTACATCATCATCGAGTCCACAGAGGAGGGCACGACCGAGTACAGCCTGTGGAAGGACTCCCTGTTCCTGGTGGACCTGCTGTGCTGCGGTGCCATCCTCTTCCCGGTGGTGTGGTGAGTGACGGGGCTGGCCGGGCACCGCGGGCCGGCAGGGAGCCTGCGCTGGGTGGAGAGGGACCAAAGCCTGAGGAGTGAGAGAGAGCGGGGAGCGGTGAGGGTCACTGCGGCCCCCTGTGCCCCTGCCAGACCCACAGCAGTGAGGGCTCCGTGCTGAGCACAGGGAGGGATTCCAGGCTGCAGCTGAGCCCTTGGAGCTGGAAACAAACGCAGATCTGCCTGCTAACCTTTGTTCTCCAAATGTTTGTTTTCAGGTCGATCAGACATTTACAGGAAGCGTCCGCCACGGATGGAAAAGGCAAGTCCCGGGCACGGCCTTTGCCACTGTCTCCAAGGGGGGGACCCGCGCCGTAGAGCAGTGGCGGTGGGCGGGGGAGGGGGGCACTGTCACTGGCCAGCCGCGGAGGGTGCCATGTGCTGGGCAGCGCTCTCTGGTGGCCCTTGCTGGCTGTGAGGACGAGGCCACGGACTGGGCAGCTCAGCGCACTCGATGAGGAAGCCGGCCAGAAGGGAGGGTTAATTGGTTGGCGTCCTGCACGCTGTGCCCGGGGCCCCTGGGGGTGCCCAAGCAGGACTCGGGTCAGGAGAGGCACAGCGCTCGCCTGCCAGACCCTGCCTGGCGCGGAGGGCGCCCCTCGGGGTGGTTCCTGACTGGCAGTGCGCACGGTCTCCCTGACGTGCGGTTCTGGTCCACAAGGAAGGCGGATTTGCTTCAGAACATCAGAGACAGTGCCTGGCTCCAAACCGTACTCCTCAGGCTTGGCCCGCCCCAGTCTGTTCTCCGTCTCACGTAAAGCCCGGCCCAGGCTGCGTGCTCTGCTCAAGCTGCAGACCGGACTGGGACCAGCCGGGGACTGTGCCCACTGCCACCTCGCTCCTGCAGCCTCGAGAGGCAGGCAGTGTGGTCTGTGCCACCCTCTGCTGCTTTCTCGTGCTCGGGGTGGAGTGCAGCATGGAGTGGACCCGGCTGGAGGGACTGTGCGTGCGTGTGTGGGGTGCGTGGGGTGCGTGGGCCTCTTGGGGTCGGGCCGGGCCACCTTCCACAGAATGAGGCTGAGTAGCGCCCAGGCCCTCCTGCAGTACTTAGCATTTGGGGACGGCCTTATCTTTCTTTGTTATTGTTGGTACCAGGGATTGAACGTGGGTCCTTGCACTTGTGAGGCAGGCACAGCTCCACTGAGCTAAATCCCAGGCCCCTAGTTTTAATCTGTTTTTAATTCTTCTGTGCACGTTATACAGAGAGGTGGTTTTATTATTTTTATAACTAATGAGTAGTTGGTACCGGGGATCGAACTTGGGTCCTTGTGCTTCAAGGCAGGTGGCAGCACCACTGAGCTAAATCTCCAGCCCATTAAAAGAGTTGTTATTTTAATATAGTAAGATGAGACCATTTAACTTTTCATCTTTCTATGCTTTGTTCTCTCAGAGTTAGTTTTCCTGACTGCAGCTGAAGATGTAAAATCCCAGTCGGGCAAGGCAGCGCACACCTGTGGCCCCAACACTGAGGCCGCAGCAGGAGGATTCAAGTTTGAGCTCAGCCTGGCAATTTAGTGAGACATTGCTTTATTTATTTATTTGTTTGTTACTGAGGATTGAACTCCGGTCCTTGTGCTTTCAAAGCAGGCAGCGGAACCACTGAGCTAAATTCCTGGTCCTTGACGCATTATTTTATTTAAAAAAAAACAAAAATCAAAGAACTGGCAATGCAGCTTAGTGTGAAGGCCCTGGGTTCAGCTCCCAGTACCAGGAAACTGAAACAAGACAGAAACCTGCAGGCGACCCCATGGTCTCCTGGTTGGAAATGTGAGTTTCTTTCCAGCTTCCTCCTGCTCCTGCCCCTCCTCTGTTTCCACCTGGCCTGGAGGCCGGGCTGAGCCGAGGCCCCGCCCCAGTTGGGGATCTGTGTAGGGCTCTGCCACCCCCGTGCAGCTGGCAGCTAGGACAGGAGGACCAGCCTCATTGCCCGAGGCACTTCCTCGGCGTGTCCACCAGGGGGCAGCATGGGGCTTCCTCTGAGAGCCCGTCAGCCCGGCACACTGGCTGGGTTTCCATTCTGCTGAGGAAGCACCCAGCTCTTGTCACCCATGCCACAGACCTTTGGAGGCGGGGACTGAGCAGATTGGAATGGGGGTGGCCTCTCCACAGCAGCTTTCAAGCTCCTTCGATGGCTTTGTTCATTTCATGCCTTGGAAGTGGTTGTGCTGGGCTGGGCATGGTGACAGTGCGTGTCATCCCAGCACTCGGGAGGCTGAGGCAGGAGGACTGATTACAGGGCCAGTCTGACCTACATAGCCAGACCCTGTCTCAAAAAAACGAAAAATTGCCAGGGATTTAGCTCAGTGGTGCCTCCGCCTGCCTTGCCAAGTGCAGGGTCCCAAGTTCGATTCCTAGTACCAGAAAACAAAAACACAAAACAGCAAAGAAAATGGTTGAGCTTGTGCTGCTGGAGAGTGTGGAAGCCGAGTTCCCTAGTGGTGTCTCCGGACCACTTTGGGGACACCACAGTGTGGCTGCCCTGGTCCGCGCCAACTGCTGGCTCCGTGAGCTTGGCCTTCTCTGTACCTCAGTTTACCCCCAGGCCCACCTGTCCTAGCGCGGCTGGCAGGTGAAGCCTAGGTCATCGTGGCCCCGTTGGACTGGGAAGCAGCCGCTGGATGGCTCCCGGCTCGCCCACCCCAGGCCCATTCTCTACGGACTCCTCCAGGTGTGACCATGATGTGGGCTGTGGTGCCTCGTTTTCAGTTTGGGCGCAGTGCAGGCTGGGTAACCGTGGCCCACTGGCTGCTCTTCCCGCGTGAGTGAGGAAGCATCTTCCCGCGAGTGTGTCTAGTTTACCTCTTTGTCCCTAGGCTCTGTTTACTGAACCTCGGGTGCACACAGGGAGACACGAAGGCATCCTTATCCCGTCTGTCTCCTGCCGCTCACTGTCCTGTGTCCTTGGGTTGGGTGCTGTGCAGCGGCTCTGAGGCTCCATGGGGTCTGGTGCCCACCTCGCTCTCCTGTGGCGCTGCTACAGCACTTGGTGGGCGTGGGGCCCCGTGCTGTGGAAGGGTGGTTGGCGGATTCGGGGAGCAGCTCCTCTAGGGTGTGGGAGGCCGGCCTCACCCGGTCTGGCCTTAGCTGTTGCTTCTTCATGGCCCCCTGCTTGTGGGGGTAGAAAGGACTCACGTGGCTGGCGAGGGGCCTCCTTCCTGCCATGGGGACTGTTGCTGTGCTTGTGGCAGCTCCGCCCCAGCGAATCTTTGGAGGTCAGCGCGGCCCCCTGCACCTCCTCCATGCGAGGACGGGTGCGTTTGGCACTGTGGGCCCCGCAACTGCGTGGAGAACAAGTGGCCAATGGTTTCTTAGCCTGGGCGTCAGCAGGATTCCCTTGCAGGTGAAGGCAGTGAGTGTGGGTGGCACTTTGAGCAGAAACGGCACTGCTGCCAGTAGTAAACCGCGCGCATCTGCCACGCAGGCCTGGCCGTCTTCCGGTTCCCAGCACATGTCCCACCTGATCAGAAGTGACTGTCAGCAACTTGGTGTTAGAAGTAATTTGTGAGAGCTGCTTCCTGAGTGGACATGCTGCTCTGGCGGAGGATACCGGGTGGGAGGTGGGTCAGGGTGGACCAGCGGGAGGGTCAGCTGCGGCAGCCCCACGTCCTGCAGCTGAGAAGATTGCTGTCAGGAGTGGCGGCAGGTGCTGTATCCCAGCTACTCAGGAGGCTGAGGCAGGAGGATGGCATCTGTAAAAGTCACAACAGCATATTCTCGGGTGTCTGGTAAGGTCTCCTGCCTTCTATGGACTCATAGAACCGAGGTTTAAGATGCATTGCTCTCGTTAGAGTCTAGGCTGGCTCGGGGCTCAATATGTAGGCTGGTCTCAAACTTGAGATCCTCCTGCCTCGGCCTCCTGAATAACCTTTTCTGGAGACTAATCTGCATTGTGAGAAATGTCTCTGGAGAAATGCGCGAATGTAGTCAGGGCGACCCCTGCCCGATGCGAGGAGAGACCAGAGGGTACAGATCGCACTCTCCTGTGGGGCACCCGCAGCTGCTTCCCTCGCTGCCCTCACTTCTCTTCTCCCCTTCCCGACTGCTTCAGAGCGCACGCCTCGCGGCTTTCGCGCTGCTCCTCCCGCTTTCCTGTGTGGAGCGCCCAGCACTTTCCGGGCGTCTGTGCTGTTCTGTGGCAGTGCCTTCCTCTGTGAGCCGCTCTCGATGGCCTGCACCCCGGCTCTGCCTCGCACACCGCACAGCGGGGCCCTCCTTCCCCTTCGTTCTGTCCCGGTGCTGTGACTCGTGGGGCCCCGGGTTTGCGGGAGCCTGGCTGGCTGCAGTCAGCAAAGCGGCCTGAGGCTGCTGGGGCTGTGGAGGAGGCTGTGACGCCCGCCGTGTGCCCTGCCTGGCTCAGCTGGTCGCGTGTCTGTCCGCAGACACCTGAGTTGCCACCTCTTTTGGGCCGGTCCTGAGTGCGGGTCAGACCCAGGGCCTTTGCACTGAGCTGCATCCTCGCCCTTTCACGTTAAGTCCTTCCGCTGCCCTTTGTGTCTGGGGGTCTGCCCAGAAGTGGGCTCCCCGGGGATGCAGTGACCTTGCAGACGTTCTCAGGAACCAGTTTCCCACAGCACCGTGCCGCGTTCCCACCAGCCGGAGACAGGACTGTGTCTGTCCTCGGCAGCATGTGCTGCTTCCCGCGTGTCCTCTCCACCGGAGGCCAGGCCTCGATGTGTGCCCAGCACCTGCTGCCCGCGCTGTCCCCCGGGTGTGCTTCGCGTTTCCCTGGGGACCCGTCACTCCAGTGTCTGCAGCTCTTGTGGGCCGCTCGTACCTCTGGCCCTTCGCCCATTTCCTGTGTTTCCTTCCTGGAGGCTGTTTGTCCCCTGAGGGCCCATGTGCTGGGAGCACAGTCACCAGGGTGGCCTCGCTGAGAACCTCAGGAGGGGCCAGGGGGACGGGGCAGGTGATCGCACCTCCCGTGTTGCTTTCCCGCGTACTGCACTTGCCACATGGCCGTGCCCCGCATAGCGATGCCGCCTGGTGTGAGCCGATGCCAGCCGGGCCTGGAGCCTGCAGAGCTGCCGGCCACACAGACCTCTTGTGAGGCAGGGCCGGGACGGGAGTTTGTTGTTGCCCCGGAGTCTTCCGGCCGCAGAGCAGCGGCAGGGTGAACCTTTGTCCTCTTTGGGTGTGTGTGTGACATTGTCACCTGACCTTGTGCTCAGGAAAGAGCTCTGTCCTCAGCAGAGGAATCAAAGTGCATCTCGGTGTCCATGCAGCGATTCCCTAGGCCGGGGGTCAGTGGGCCCCGGCCCGTGG